TGTATAAAATGAGTATAAATGTTAGTGATTGATTCATTCAGTTTCATGAAAAAAAGTTCGTAGTCGTGTAATAGAATGTTCAATCTGGACTATTTCACCTCATTAGTTCCTTCATACGTTATACAAAGTCTATCTCAATTTTCTTTTCCACTTTTATAGGTTGAAATATGCATATAGTCCTCAGATTTTAGGGCACAAAAAACTATTTAAGCATTTAGCAATTAATTGAGCTAGTTTTTTTCCTCTACTATCCAATCAGTAAACGATGTTTCAATCCTAATGCCATTAATAAGTCTAGTTGGTTTAGTGTAACCTTCATGTACTAAAATCTACATGTGATAGTCAATCGATTGAAGAAAAGTACACATATGAGTTTTCCAAAAGTCGAAAGGAATGTTATCAAACAATGGTTGTCTAGTGATCGAATATATTTCAAGAGTGTTACGGTTTTCAAAAGTAGTCATTATCGTTTTCAAAATATTGTCTAAACCTCAATTTTTAAAAATAGGCTTTATTACCACTTGAAAGTTCGAGAAGGTTGTTAGACCTAGCAGAACTGTTCCAAAGCTAATCAAGTGGGGGTGAATTAGTAATTTAAAAATTCTCTTGAATAAAGACTATTTTTTATATTATATCATGTGAGTTTTTGATGATATCAAAATATTATTGTTGTGATCACTATTTCTCCTAACATACATTGGATATATTTTCTTTGTGTTATTTGTGTGTACTAATATTTCAGAGAAATCCTACTCCAGACTGCCGAAGACTTCAATACATATTAGATTTAGGTTTTTTGTAAGTTGCAATGAAGTCTATACTTTTTTCTATTTTTCTTGAGTCTAAGAGATTGTGATTGAAATTGGATAACCGTGCACACACACATTGGGGTGGGGAGTCAAAACTTTAATTTTTAAAACTAATCGTACTATATGATTTTTAAATCGTACTAGAAGATTTGTGATGATAGTTCCTCCAGACGAATTTAAGCAAATCATGCCCGGAAAAATTTTATATTGTTCGTTCTGTACGATAATGTTTTCATATAGACGACTCATAGAGTACGAAACTGGTACGTACCAGTTCGTCCCAAATGAACGCACCATTTTTTTAACTGATAATACTATACGAAGTGGGGTTCTTATAGACGACTCCGAGAGTTCGAAATGGGTGCGTACCAGTTCGTCCCAAACGATCACTTCAGTTTTCGATCTGATCGTATCATACTAAGTGGGGTTCGTACAGACGACTCCCAGAGTACAAAATGTGATCATCCAAGTTTGTACCAAATGAAGCATGATTTGTTTAAACAGTTCGTACTATACGATATTTGGTTCGTACAGACGATTCACAGTGTACAAATTGAGTTAGTACGAAATCGCATAGGATGAATTTTGATGCAATCAAAAAATTTGGGAGAGGGACCCAAATTTTTTATCACAAAAACAAAAGACTTCCTAGATAAAATAAAGACACAAAATGCTCAAAAGGATACAAATAAACCACAAATAACTTCACTTTAATATATAAAAGACTATTATAACTTGGACACTTACAAATGACTCAAACAAGACACCTAAAGAAGTTTTCATCCATTAGAAGAAGGATACAAGTGAGGTGGCACTTGCGGCGAGACGAAAGAGGTTAGAAGCCTTAGAAGAAAGAGGAGAAGCTCGCAAGCTTTCCTAGAAGAGGAGTATAAGAGATGGAACAAGCTCGCAAGCTTTTCCAAAAATCTTTCACATAACATACTTAAAATATCCACAAACAACTTATATTTATAGACAAGAGAGAGGAATACAAACAGCCCCAAAACCCTTCATATTCTTAATTAAATAAGGGAAATGAAAAGCCAACAGTCAACTCCTGGAAACAAAACACCATAGCCACGGAAAAGCCCCCCAAAAGTCACGGAAAACATCCCAAGCGAAACCCGAAGAGGCAACCGTAAGAACCAAGGAGTCATTCGTGGGAACCAAGGAGGCAGCCGTGGGAACCAAGGTGCCAAGGCACGGGAACCCAAGAGCCATCCACGGGAAATGAATGGACAAGGGGAAGGAGAAGAGAAAATTAATGAGCTACTAATAAATTAATAAGTGAACTAAAAACATGGCTCATAATGAGCTAACTCTTAGTTCAATAAATGAACTAAAAACCAGCTCATAATGAGCTAAATTCCAGCTCAAAAATTAACGAGCTAGCAAGCCCAAGGGAAGTCAAAACCAAATTTTTTTGGGTTTGATTTGACCCCCCCTTTGTCTACATCAAATTTGTTCTGTACGAATTAAGTTTTGAACTGTTCATTCTGTACGATGTCAGTTCATATATACAACTGATAAAGTACGAAATCAGGCTCGTACAGGATCGTACATGGAATTTTGAATTGTTCGTACGTACGAAATACAATCGTACTGTACGATTTGAGTACATTTAACTTGAAATTTTCAGTTTTCTGAACGGTTTTTCTTGTCTTTCATATATACGTGCCCTGAAAAACTGTCAATTATCTATCTTGCTGCGAGTTTTCTCTTAGGAGTGAAAAAGAGTGTATTTTGGGAGAGTATTTAGGAGTGAAGTTTGAGAGATCTTATAAGTGAAAATTGTTAAGGGTTTACAAGGTTGCTCAAAGGTAAGGATCTCTTTATGTGTTCTTCAAATATCTGTCATTCTTCTTTGAAGACTCTTGAGAGAAGATCTTTGGAGTAGATCCGGTACTTTGCCGTCACCAGGAGGGTGAAGAGGACATCGATACTCTACCCTCACCAGGAGGGTGAGAAAGGACATCGGTACTCTGCCGTCACCAGGAGGGTGAGAAAGAATGTTGGTACTTTGTCTTCACCAGGAGGTGAGAAAGGATGTCGGTACTCTGCCGCACCGGGTTGGTGGAAGAGAGGTTGTTATAAGGGCTTCTCCGCCTTGCTGTGGGAGCAAAAGGAGAGTCACTTTTGATTTAGAGCAATACTTGAAAAATGAGTCTTCAGGGAGTGGACGAAGGTCTAGTTGGACCAAACCATTATAAAAGTTGGTGTTCTTTTGTTTCTTTATTTTACTGCTTCTTTTTTCGCACTTTATTTTTCTGTGGTTGAAAAAATTTTTGTGAAAATCTTTTTCTAGAAATAACTGCATATTTAAGGATCATTGTGTCAAATATCTTTAAACGCTTTTCTAAATTTCCAAGAGAATTTTTAAATTACCAATTCCCCTCCTCTTGGTTAACCTTGGGACAATTCTGCTAGGTCTAACAACCTTCTCGTGGTTCAATAGGAGCAGCCAGCCCCTCTTGGGCCGGCCTAACATATTCCTTTTATAAAATATTTAAAATTTAACAAATGCTAAGAAAAAAATCATCAAATCCACAAAATAAAATTAAAAACAACAATTATACCTCTTGATTGTGTTATGTTGGAGCATGCGACAGTAGCGGACGAGATAGGTTTGGTGAACAACGAATGATCCATAGCAAGTGTGGCAATCGACGATCCTGATCTCTGTTGCGGGATCGGGTGTTCGACGCGATCTACGTAGACTGCGAACGGTGTTCGATGCAATTTAATTGTGGAACTTGGCATTTGCTGCAGGAGCTGGTGTTCAATTCATTCACTAGGGCTGCGGGTGCAGGAGTGATACTCAATGTGTGCGCGGGATTGAGAACAACTTTGGACGGACAGTCGCTAGGGATGCATTGGTCGACGCATGCAGATTGCTTACTGCGTTTCACAATTTGTTGCGTTGAATCTTCAGCTGCTGCCCAGTTAGCAGAGAGACGTGCAACTCTACGGAGGAGAAGTGTTATGCGGAGAATAAGAGTATTGTGCTATCAAGTCGATCTTATGAAGTCTTGAAAGTAAATTTATAATATATCACATAGTTTTGAGTGTTGAGTTGTCAAAAATTTTATATTTAAGTTGAGTTTGACAAAAAAAGAGAATATTATGATGGATGGATGACAAAATAAGAAATTTTATAGCATATCCTCAATGTGCAAGCTGTGCTCAGTGAGGGAATCAGAAGTTCACAGAATGTTAGAGTGATATCTATTAAAGATAAGGTAATTGAAAATAGATTTTGCTAGTTTGAGCATGTACGACGGAGGCTAGAAAATATGCTTATTAGATGTTTAAATAAATTGTGTGTGAGAGGATTAGGAAAGAGAATGGATTGACCTGAAGTGATAGATAATAGTTCATAATTTATAAAGAATAAATTTAACACTTCGGGATGTACTGTATAGGAATGAATAGGCAATGAACATTCCCTAAGTAGTTAGGATAAGACTAATATTAATGATAATGATAATGATTTCAGAGCTTGGGTAGCGTCGTGCTTCATTATTTTTACTATACTAGGCAATTTTGGCATCAACTTTTGTGAGATGTTCCTCCAAATACTGGAAGGAACTTTTCTAATTTCTGTTTTACTAAAAAAATTTATAAAATAATTTCAGCATCACTTTAACTGTCAACATAATAATTTGCCTTGCAATCTTTAAATGTTTTGCCCCTAAGACTTCTTTCTTCATCCATTTTACCTCGAGTAAAACTGCTTTTATAGACGCTTGGTTTAGCTTTCTAGGAACTGCATCTAATGATTCGTTTGAAGAAAAGCTGCATAAAATGAAAAATTTGGTCAAGAAAATATTTTAGATTTCTGAGCTCTAATATTTTTTTCTATTGAGTGTTGAATGTGGTTTTCCTCTACTTTCAATTTATTCATGAAGAATACATGAAGGGGAAGACAGTATATATAAAAGCAAAGTCAAACATGATATTGCAAATGTGAAGCAATGTGGTTTATAATTCACTGTTTCATGGTAATAGATTTCCGGTGATTTCCATTTATTAAACGATTTTTAATTCTTTCCTTCAACATATAGCTTTGGTAAATCACTACCTAGGGAAATGCTCAGAGCTTATGTTAGACCAAATCTATTAGAGATTTTTTTCTGTATTTTGTAAGTTTGTTGGAGCACCATACTAAAGTGTTGTTCGCTTGGATCTTAGGTGGCCATCCCAATTGTCCCTACAATTCGAGTTCTTATTACATTCACGAAGTTTGAAGAGTTGAGTCCTCCCTCTGATGAGTTTGCAACGCCACTTTCTAGTCCAACCCATTTTCAGGATTACAAGGCTAAGGCAGCAGAAACATCAGGTGGTTCATGGTACTCATGGGTAAGAGGCAGTCGAGGCGGGCAATCCAGTGATGAAAGTGAAAGCAAAAACTGGAAAGATGAGATTGACCCTTTTAGCATACCATCAGATTATACCTGGGTTGACGCCAATGAAAAAAAGCGGAGAATGAAGGCCAAGAAGGTCAAGAGCAAGAGGGTGGTTTCCAGTAAGAAGCAGACATTGAGAAGTGGAGATGCCCAGCAGCAGCAACTAGATGATGTTGAGGATTAGATGACCCTATATGCAGAAACGTAACAAGTGCTTACATGTTTTTAGCTTTCTGTGTATTGTGTGGGTGTTTTAACAATCAGTATAAACTATTATGTCTGTGATGTAGGTCACAAGGTTGCGTTCCCCTAATTGTAGTATGAATGCAGTCTTCTGCTTCAAAAAAAAAAAAGAGTGATTGAAGTAGATAATATTGTTTTGTTTGGAAGGGAACATAAGCTTGTACGGTGATTCATTTGTTTGTTTTTCATAGCTTTAGCTCTTCCATCTGATATAGTGATCTTACTTTAACTTCACTATAGTCATGATCTTTGCTTTATTTATGAGTTTTGCCAGGAGAAATATTTTTCCTTTTTTGCAGATCTTATAAATAACAAGAGTAAACGTTTTGACTGGCAACGACTTGGGAGTGGTATTTGACACCTCTACATTGAATATCTTTCGTATGCACTTTCATATTGAACATTTAAAAAAAAAAAAGACTAAAAGTTTATCGTCCATATAAACCTAGGCTAATTGAAAACTTTACAATCACTTCTAATGCTAGTTAATGTTGCATCATGCATATATTTACAAAAAGACTTTCAAACATCTTTTTGCCTTGATTTATTTATACTTTCTAAATATAAATGACTAGTTAGATAAATATTATTTTAAAAGATTAGAGCCAATTCTTCTTACACATCTTTCATCATCCCGTAGTAAATTTAACTAAAATTTGAAGTTGCTACACAATTCAATTTTTATTGTGGTGACATCTTTTCAACCTCTTTTTTCCATTTTCCTTTTGATTATTGTCACAGTTTTGTGGATTTTATGGGGATTACAATTCCTTGTGGGTGATGCATATATTTAATAAAATCTCGCTGATGGATTCTTCTATTAAGTTTGAGCTAGGGATCATTTATGCTCCTTCATTATTCAATAATAATTAAAAAAAAAATACTAACATAGTTCTCAATTCTTTTTGGAAGCTATTGATAATAAGTTCATAAGACTTATAAATAGCCAATTAGATTAAGCCTAATGTAGATAAACAACATTGGACACACACTCAAGCCCAATTGACATGCCAAGCTAAATTTGAATCATGTCATGACATTTAGTCTAAATTGAACCCTAACTAAGGTTTGTTTGTGATGGCTTTTTTATTGCTTTCTAAAGTATTTTTTTAGTACAAAAAATTTGTGAACTAGAAATTTTTGTACTAGAAAGTTGCTTTTAAAAGTATTAAGAAACATGTTCCAATCGAAGCCTTAATCTCATCTCTCCTCATTTAACTTAGACATATCAACTTATGCCATCCTGAAGCCACTTTCCACCCTTTAAGACCAAACCAAGATCACCAATCAAAGCTCAATGGCATTGAATGCCATGTCCTTTTGATAGCTCACTATATATCTCCTCTTTGATCAAGTTTAAGTGAATAACTTTTTGGCTAACCCTTTTTCTTACCCTATGTATCTTAGGCCAATCCTAGTAAGGGAAGGAAATGTTTAATCATGTTAAGGAGAGAAATTATATATTTCATATCATATGAACAAGTTCTTGACCATAAATACTAAAAAGATTCAGTATTTTTATAAGAAAATCCCCAACTAGATTTATGACTCTCCATAACTTTTATAGCATAAGAAATACACATATGGTTGTTCTTTGATTGTGAGAGCATTCTTTTAGGAAAAAAAACTTGAGCTAATCAATTTCTCTTCATCTTTACCATACAAAGGTTTTGCAACTGTTAGATCAAGCAAGCCTTGATCGAGTAATGTCCTTTAAATCACTAAGCTTATCTTTATATTGATCTTTCTTGGGTGCACATATCATAACTTGTTATTTTGATTGCACCATCATTTTTATCCTTCTCTCTAATCAAGAAAAAGTCCTTAGTCACCAAAATCAATCAAGGATACCAAAGACAAAGATAGAGAAGGGTGCATGAGCATAATGAGTCAACTCTAATATTCTTTATTTGGGCTAGAGGTAGAGGATGAAATCCACCTCAATTATTCTTTATAATTATTATTTATATTATTAATCTAATTGCCTAATTATCAAAACTACAAGATTCTATGTTCACCAATGATTATTTTGGATCATCCAATTCCTTTCTTCCAATTTTAAAACTATAGAGGTTGTAGGCTTCACCTCCTCCAATTAGTAGTGGCTATGTGTATAAGCATAATGAGTCAACTCTAATATTAACACAAGTCCATTTTTAGGACTTAATAAATTCAAAGATCTCATATAAGTCATACAAAACTCATATTGGGTATAAAATTGATTAATTTCTAAAAATTCCTTGGGATCAGCTTTATCTAGAAAGAATAGAAAACTAAAGCTAAGCATGCATATTTAATCAATAAAGTTGTTAATTTAAAGTATTCATAAGCAACCTAATCTATGTATGAAAATTATAATATTAGTATTTAAGGTTTATTAAGGTTAATCTTATTTAGAAATTTGTAAATTTTGAGAATTCATAAGTTATCTTTGGTTTTTCAAACTCCCTACATCCATTTAAATGATTATTTAAAATTTTTAAAAATAATGACTGATTTGGAATATTGTTTACATGTACTAAAATGGATAAGGAACATTTATTCCATGTTGAATATATTTTGCTAAGTGGGAGTTTATTTCATCTATAGTTAATAATTTTAATAATAATAGAAAGGGGCTAAAATGATTAGAAATTTATAATAATTTGGGTTATTAATTCAATAGTTTTAAAATATCTTATGACTTTTCCCACCCTCTAAGTGAGGATCATAAGTCCTTCATGTTTTTTAGGATTTAGGCCTAATTTTATTAATCATTAAAATATAAAAAACCTAACAATTATTAAAAAAATATTAAATAAGTCATTAAATATATTTTTATTACTAAAATATATTTAATCAATTTTAAAGGAACTTTAATGTGACATCTTGCTTTAGGGTGAGATCACAACATCATTAAGTTTTAAGATCTTAAAATAGCATAATGTAATTTATGGTGAAATGTATTCTCCCAAGTTTGTATTCACCAATATGATCCCTTAATCACTCATGTCTCCTAAACATAGAATCTAAGGCTTTGGATTAGATTATCCCTACTCACTATATTTTTTATAACACATCAAACCTCGTAAACGTAAGATCTAAAACTTAAGACTGGGTTACCAATAAATCACATGTTTTGTATAACACTCAATGTTTTTATACATAGGCCCTTAGAACCTAGAATGATAAGGTCCACCCTAAGGTAGGTTGTGCATCCTTTTTGGATTATTTATAACCCTTAATTATAAAATATACAATACATAAAATATCTTGAAGAGTCTTTATGTCATTAATAACTTAAATTTGAATAAACTTTGATTAAGAAATTTGAAAACTCTCATTCATATTTATAATTTGAACATCAAACCTTAATTAAATAAGCACATATACTAGCTTAGCACACACTGGTTGATGTGATAGGCACACTTGTGAACATCATAGGGTTATGGTGTCATTAGGTTTTCATTTTATTAGCATTTGACTATGCGATTTAACAATAGATCAACTATATTGCTTGATTATAATTATGTACACTATATTAGATAAATATCTTCTATAGATGATATGCTATGTAGTTCCCTAGAAGGCACTAAATGCTTGCTTAGCACATTATTGTTCTTAATAATAAAAAATGCAGAGAATATATATATATATATGTTGGCATATGGGATGGTCTAAGGAGGCAAAGACCTAAATGTTAATTAGGTGGAGCTAAATTTGAAGTGCTTGCATGCTACATTCATTTATGTAGATGCTTGCACCTCCTCTCCAATAATAGCCTTACTCAATGTGGATTCTTCCACATTTGACACCTCCACACCTAAAGCAACCTTCCTAGAAGCATGAATGCCAAGAAGAGAGGAAAGAGCCATCTTGCCAAATTCACTCAAGGCTCACAAGTTGGAAGTAAAAAAAAAAGTAAGTATTAGCTGGGTTTGAGATCAATATTTATATTGTAACTCGATGACAGGACCGTTTGGTTTCAAGAGATACATGAACCTCATAGAAGATTTAAGGTAGTAAATTTGCATTTACTCGTGCTATGTTCTCTATTTTATGATTTATTTTTATGTCTTTTTTAGCATATTATGATTAACGGGTTGAATAAATCGGAGAACTAAATGTACACCAATGACTACATGTGTAAGTATCCTATTAGAAGTATCTTGTAGGTTAGGTTCGAGTCACACAGGAGGAGAACTCTCTCTTCTAGATAGACCATTCGAGATACTCTCTCAGAAGCTAGGAAGGAGCTTATTACTAGAGCATGGAAGATCACCTTCAGCCACATCCTTCGAGTAGTTGCCTTCCTAGTGAGTGAGAAATAAAAAGTTACTCTCTCAACAGGACAAGTCTTTGTTCATCTTAGCTAAAATCAAGTCTTCAATACGAGATATATCAAAAATCAAGCTAAATACACACATCTTGTGTAATAACCCGTATTTTGAATTTGCCAATTTTTTTCTAGAGTCATTATAACTCCAAATCATAAACTGTCTTTGGCATAATATTTTGATTGTTGAATTTTACTTACACAAATTTTTTCATAATTTTTGGGCATCGGCAAAAATCCTTAAGAAATTAGTACATGTTGGTACAAGTGAGAATTTCGGGACCGTTAGGTCTCCGTTTTGCAAATCGATTTCACCGATATTTTTTAAATCACATGTTTTATTTAATGAATATTTTTCTATAATTTTAAAAGTCCTAAAATGATTTATATAATTATTCTACTAAGGAAATTAATTAATTAAATTATATACTATTATATTATTATTATATTCTAAAATATCTTAACCCGCTTAATTTTTTTATAAAAATCCCTTTCTCCATTCGGCTAATGGAATAGAGAATGAAAATGAGAAAATGTGAGATAAATAAGAAGAGAGAGAAAAGAAAAACTCATATTTGGAGACCAAGGTGCGATTTTCATCCGTCGACACTGCTGAGAGATTTACTCGTCTCGTAGTAAGGAACCTTTAGCCTATTTTTTATTTCAAAGATTTTATGTTTTTGACATCTTTCTGATCAAATTTGTATTTTTATTACTGAAAAATATGAATAACTTTGTATTAACAAAACTTTCATCGCATAACATTTTGTATGTTATAGATATCATGATTATGAGCATTTTGAGTATTTATTTGAGATTTTTCACTAGAAGATTTAAAAAATACGGTGATTTTTGTTTATCTCAAAATTTATTTTGGCCTCTAAAAATTATGGTATTGTATAATAAAAGTCTTAAAATATCACTTTATATAAA